CTGATTGATGTTGCACAATATTGGCTGTAATTGAAGAGATGGTAGGAGGAATATAACATGCAGTCTCATTTCAGTGTAGTGGTCAGCAGTAGTAATTGCTGCTAGTGTTGGTTTCTTTTCTCCCAAAGCATGCAGTCAGTGTACACATCCAATGAATATAAACATTTGAAGCAAATTACTAAGCCATGTAGTGTTGCATGCTAATCTTACCTGCTACAAATAGGTTCTTTCTGACATTTGAAGTCCCATAAGCAAAGAAAACAAGAGAGCAGTGAGTGGCCAAATCCCCAAAGCATTCACCGATTCAACAATTCACCCAAAGCTACAACATTAATGAATGATCCATTCATTATGTTTCTTCATTTAAAGATGGGTACAACATTCAAACACTGCCCAAAATTTACAACTACAAACGGATATCCATTACACACACACACACACACACACAATTGTATAGAACTGGACATTACTCACACCTAACAATGATAGAGACAGCGAACTGCAGCAGCATAACCTAACCTAGGCAAACTTAAACGCACAGATGCCTCTTCATTTGGACTAATTGTCCAAATAAGGTATATTGCAATCCAACGAATGATCCAATACAATTTTATTTTCCTTGTTCTACTTGTGGCCAATTTGACTTGAAGCACTTTTAGTTATAGCATTACTCCTGTTTGCAGTGGATCAATCTAAGCAAAGAATGGACATCCCCTATGTTTCTATTGTACTATAAATAAGGAATGGTTGTTGGAAGAAATTGGTTGTCGAACCAACAGACAAAGGTATACAATCACCAAAGATGAAATCGTCAGAAGATAAAAATCATTAGAATGGCAGGAGAAATTGATCGTCAAACTCGTACGTTGTATCTGGTAAGAAGCAAACTGCCTCTCAAGGTTCTGCTCCATCCATCGAGTCTTCGCCGCAAACCACATACTTCAATAGCATCATCCATTAGTATTCGAAGTTAAGTTAGAACTCTGACTTGACATTACGACGGTGTAAAGGAAAACCTATTGATTTTGAAGAGGTTTGCTGTAAATCCTAAGAGATCGATTTGGAGAAGAAGAGGAGTCGACGCAAGGACACTCTGAGTCTGATTGAATTAATGGGCCAAATGTTCATTTTGTCATTCACTAAATCGCTAATTCAGCATACGATGTCACACACAGCGTTTTTCGTTAGTGCACTTAGTAGATGATGTTATTAAAAATAGAATGAATTATTTTAATTTCATAACTATGAGAAAATTAATATAATTTTTAAAATTATAGGGACTGATGCTAGGAGGGTCTAAGTACAAAGATAATCTATAATTAGTCTAATGTCTTCTAGGGAGTGAAGGTGATGAGGAATGATTCCATGATCTAACTCTCTATGTCTATTTCTATGGATGATTAGATTTATGGTATCAGTATTCAATGCCCATAGTAATCCTTTTAAATAAAGATAAGTCAAACCTTACACCAATATCAGTAAGAATATTTTATGAGTAATACTATTTCTTTTATTCTTTTAGAATCTGCAAGGACTTGGGGTATTTAGTTTAATAATGCCATAACTGAAAAATTGCTTGCAGCAATTAACAACAACAACAACAATTTATATCGTTAGTTATATCCTTAGTTAAATTAGTGTACTTAAAATTTTATTTATAATTTTAATAAACTCTTTTTAGGTCCTTTTTATATTTTATGGTATCTATCATTAATAGTAATTATTTACATTTTATAACTATAATATCTATTAATCTCTTTACCGAATATCTAAAACGTATCCTATAATAATTTTTACTCTATCAAAGGATACATAATTCTTCAGGAATGATTTTTTTTTTCATTTTAAAAAGTACCTTCATGAACCCACCTCAATATTTTTATTTCAAAGATACATATTTTTATATTATTTTTTAATTATCTAACGTGTAAAACTTTTATTGAAACCTTGATGAGTCTAACAATTGTTTTATTGAAATTGTTTACATCTAAGAGGTACTCCATCGTAGCACAAATGCTCATCTCTATTTTAACCATCAAAACTTTACTTTATAAATGATATTTTCAACAATCTTTCCATCGTAGAATAATCACAAAATAAATTATCAAATTTTTTTGCATATCTATCCTTTCAAAATCAGGAATAGCATGTTTGCCCATCAACACTAATATTATGTTTAGTTTCAATATCATTATTGTAATAACTGATTAATAGAGATTAATTAATGACTGATATCTATATATGGTTGTTAGTTTTACACAAAGATACATATATTTGAGCTAAACTTAAATTTAAAAATCCAACCATTTTCATAATTCTTTTAGATTCTTGCTAGGATTTATGGAGGATACTCTCCCTTGCCTTATTGTTATACAAGATATTCATCATTTATATATGAATATTTTATCAGAAAAAAAATCTTATTATTAGTTTTTATCAAATGATGCTCCCTATTCATTTTTACATGGGGCTTTTTTTATTATTTAGATGAACACACCCTCTCCTTCTATGTCAAATGACATTAAAATTAATAAAGAATTCGTAGTCTAATGTTTTTCTATTTAACTAGTTCGATCTAGTTCATATCAAGATTTATAAACCCCTTACCCAACTTTTCGCCTCTTTTCTCCTATCCCCTTCTCCTTTCCCTTCCTTCTCCTCCCCTTTTATTACCTCTATCTTTGTGGCCTCCTCACCTTCTCTTCCCTCATCTCATCCCATTCATCCACCACCTCCTCCTCGGTCTCCCTCTTTCCTCCTCCTTATTCTTCAATCTCTACCTCATCTTCATCATGTCATACTAAAAGCTTGGGTTGTTCATTATAAGTTGATTAAGTTACACTTAAATTGAACTAAATTATATTCAATCACAAAATCTATTCAAAATATTCACTCCGACATTAAACTAAGTTATACTCATATCAGTTCAAGAAATCTTAAAATTTGATAATTAATTATCTTAATTTTTTTAAAATAAAAATATCAATAATCTTAATTTAATTTAGGGATATTATTATAATTAATTATTAAAATTAATAATTTTTTGAATAGTTCTACGATCTAAGTGTAATTTAGTTCAATTTCAAGTGTAAATAGGCTAACTTCTACTAAACTAATCTAAAATTTCATAAAACAACTAAGAAATTATTTAAAATAATTATATATTTTATGAGAATTTTATAATAATTAATTATAAAAAATTGGATGTTTTGAACTCGTATTGTGATAAAATATAATTTAGTTCAATTTTGAATATAACTTGGCTAACTTTCACAATCCAAGCTTTTAGAAAACTAATAAAACATGATTGTCATATGATTATATTATTTTTTAAATTTTATAATAATTAATTATTAAAATTTTAAATAGTTTGAACCAGTAATATGATCGAGTGTAACGGTAACTTAGTTAAATTTCAACTATACCTTGTTCAACTTTTTACTAAACTAATCTAAACTTTTAGAGAAACACTAAACATGATTTTAAGATTATTAGGACAAATTTTTTTAATTTTTATAAAATTTAATTATTATAAAAATTATAATATGTTCTGTGATCAAGTGAGTGTAACTACATCTCAAAATTTAAGATAAAGTATAAGGGGAGGAGATGGAGGAATAGTAGGAAAGTAAGAAAATGGAGGTCAAAGATGAGGAGGTAGAGGTGAAGACAGAGGAGACGAAGGCAAATGCTACTGAGGAGAAATGAGATGAGACAGAAAGAAAAGATGGAGGAGGAGGGAAAGGAGGCTTGATTGAATCAATTCAAAATGGGTTCAATTTTGAACGATTTATGAGTTACTGGTTCAATTGGTTTTTTTATTATTTATAAAAAAATACTCAAGTAAAAACAAATATGAAAGCGATAAAAAGTTAATAGCGAGTTTTTTCGATAAAATACCCTTTATTTTATATTTTATATTTATTTTGTTTAGATTTATATGCATCGTTTGGCCAATTCGGATAGGCGTACGCGAGTCTGTGTTGGTCCAGTCACCTATAGGCTCCAGGAGAAGAAGCGGGGATAGAAGAAGAGGTAAGGGGAGGAGAGTGAGAGCGAGAGCGAGAGCGAGCGGAGAAAGCTTCACTCTCCGGTTATTGCCCTCACCACCGATTTGTTCGCCAATCTTTATGATATCTGTTACCATCCGAGGTGGTGAAATGTATTCGAGCTCGATTCCTCTGAGGAGGTTCGGTTCTTCTCTCTCTTCGCGCCGAGGAAGAAGGACAGGAAACATGCTTTTCCCCCTAAAATTTACTGAATTCTGACTGGAATATTCTCTGTCGGCAGTGGCTTATTGATCGCTTGGAGCTCTCCCGACTCCTCTGTTCGTCTTGGTTTGCGCCCAAATTTAAAGACCCAAAGCATTCGGCTCCTCTCCAAAAGGCAGAGATGTCCTAGGGCAAGCCTATCTTCCGGTACGCCCCCTAGTTTTCTTCACCAATGTAGCGCTTCATCTCTTGTGTTCCTGCTTCCTCTTCTTACCTTGGTGTTTGATGGTTCGCTTGCACTATATATTTTTGTGATGGTCAGAATAATGGGCCTTGTAGGCGAAAATAGACGTAGAATGTGATTTATAATTTTCTTCTGTTTTCTCAAGATTTGAGGATTGTCCTTGGCTTCCATTATGAAGTGAAAAATCTTTAATTCTGTATCTTTATGAGAAGGATCGTTGGACTTAATTGAATTAGGCGTGTGGTGTGAGGCCATCTGATGTGGGACGAGAACGGCAGAATATTTTTTTTGATAACAGAGGAACATTCCAGAGAGGAATAGAAGATAGTAATCGAAAGATAATAGGAAAATAAATAGATAACTACCAGACTTATTGTGGCTCAAGGAAAACACTCCCAAGATTAAGGTCTTACACCTTCTCGCATCTTGCACTTGAATGATGAAATCATGCCGTCGGTAAACAAATGTGGCATCGCACCACTTACACAACATAGGAAAAGAACTCATTTCATTGATCCATTTCTGGTTGATTTGCATTACAATGTTCTTGCCCCTTTTTAGAGGCTAAGTACAATAAAAGAAAATGAAAATTGTAAAAGTAAAAATTTTACAATTGAATTATATCAAATATATGATTTGATGTTCCCTTCGAAGAGGATAATATTCTTGATTGATATGCTTCCATCTTCGTAGCAATCAATCTTCACAAAATATTTTATCAGGATTTAGAAACTTCAATCACAATCATATTTGATTTTTTTCATATTCTTTTCACATCTTCTTCTTACTTGAGTAAACTAGAAAACTAGATCAGAATTATTCAGTATGTTGCTATGTGGCAACTTATGATATGCAAAATAACCTCTAAACTAATCAAATTTATTTGAATAAAAGATAGAGAAGATTGATTCCGTGTCATATGCTTTCGCTGTGTAGGAATTTGCCCCGAGTTCATTTAATTGAGATATGAATTGACCTTGATGATAGAACACTTTGGTTAAACCAAGAGCTTTGATACCAAACTGATATTGGACAAGAATGGCAGAATATATTTTTGATAATAGAGGAACATAAAAGACAGGAATAGAAAATAGTAACTGAAAGATAATCGGAAAATAAATGGATAAGTACCAGACTCGCTCTGGCTCAAGGAGGACACTTCCAGGACGAAGGGCTCACACCTCCGCATGTCTCGCACGTGGACGATGGAATCATGCAATCGGAAAACAAATGTGGCCTCACACCACTCACACACAAGATGGGAAAAGAACTCATTTCATTAATCCATTTCTGATTGATTTGTATTACAATGTTTTTGCCCCTTTTTATAGGCTAAGTACAACAAATGAAGAAAAGAAAAGAAGAATATAAAAGTGAAAAATTTACAATTGAATCAAATCAAATGATTTGATCTTCCCTTTGAAGAGGATAATAGTTTTAATTAATATGCTTCCATCTTCGCAGAGATCAATCTTCACAAAATCTTTCATCATGATTTGGATTCTTCAACCACAATCATAATTTGATTTTTTTCAAATTATTTTCATAATTCTTTCTTCCTTGAGTAAACTAGAAAACTAGATTGGAATCATTCAGTATGTTGCCATGTGGCAACTTGTGATATGCAAAATAACCTCCAAACTAATCAAATTTATTTGAATAAAAGATTGATAAGATTGGTTTCGCGTCAACATCTAACTGGGGTCATTATTGTTCACCAAAGCTATGCTTTTATGATGTTACTCTGTTTTTGGTAGGTTCAAATTTGCCAGACCCAAACTATTTCTAAGATAGGATGCTTTGGCAGCAATATGATGCATATAAAATGTCTAAAATACCATCAAATAAGGTCTAAAATATTGGACAAATACACCTTTAAATACTCAAAGAGTAGAAAATTACAACTTTTAGCTTATATTAGCTAAATTTACTCAACTGAGACTCTAAGCAAACTTTTTCTACAAAACTAGAGTTCACTTCTATTGGTCTGAGGCTTATATGAAGTTAATTTTGCCCCTTGAATAGAGTAAGCTGCTATTTTTTCAATTCAGCATCTTGGTGATTATTCAAATCATTTTAGGGAATCCTCCAACAAAAAACTGTCATGTGATAATGTGTTTCTAGTGGAAAAAACTTTGGCAAGATGGAAAATTTGTCTTTGTATTTGGAATTTTTTTATCTTATGGGAGCACGACAATACTGTTTGAAAAAGAAAATATTATGGTTATCGTCAACTAAGGTCCTTTTCTAACATTAGGGTATCAGTTAGATGGCTAAACTTCTCAAACATCTTCTGTCTCCTCCTTGATTGTTTCATTCATCTTATGCATGGTTTCTAGTGGGTTTTTCTTCAGTTGAGTTTTAAACCAGATCAATATCCTAAAGGCATATAGTCAAGATTATCTTACAATATCATATGAATACATGTTTTGCCTTTTATTTTCATAATACATCGTGTTAAGGTGTTCTCTATATCTTTTGAGCAACAACGGTATATAAGATTGAAATTTATGTAGGCTCACATTCAAAAGTTATCTTTCTTAAGAAAGTTAAACATGGTTTCGTTGAAGTTTTAAATATTATTTTTCCAGATCCACTTCTGGTTCAGGCTGCTAGAGGAAATGCAATAAGTCGGCCTCCGGCATGGATGATGCGCCAAGCAGGAAGGTATATGGCTGTTTACAGAAAGCTTGCCGAGAAATATCCATCCTTCAGAGTGAGATCCGAGACAGTTGATCTCATTGTAGAAATTTCTTTGCAGCCATGGCGAGCTTTTCGGCCAGATGGGGTCATTATTTTTTCTGACATACTTACACCTCTACCCGCATTTGGTGTTCCTTTTGAGATAGAAGATGTAAAAGGGCCTATTATTCAATCACCAATTTGTGATGAGGAAGGGCTTAAATGCTTGCATCCCATTGACCTAGAGAAGCTTCAATTTGTTGGAGAGTCTCTGATGATCTTGCGTGGGGAGGTAGATATCAGCTTTGTTACTCCCAAAACATTCAACAAATTAAAATTTAATATAATCTCCATAGACTTATGTGTTACTATCTGGAATTATAATTACAACTTGCATCAAAAATTACACAAAAACAACCATGGGGTTTGTTAATTGACTCTAATAGTGAATCAGCCAGTTGATTTTTTCTCATTTTGATACATGAATATGCTTGCTTTAGTACTCGATGTATATGAAAAAAATGAGAAAAAAAAAACCGATAGCTTTCTAACACTATCAAATGGTTCTTTCTACATGTCTCCTAGCCTTTTGGATTTCTTTTCTCTTTAATTGCATTTTGTAAGATGGTTCTTTCTACATGTATGGTGAGCCGTGGTATCATGGGTTGCTTTTTTGCATCTTGGGTGATTAGAGTTTGAGTTATAGAAAAAGTATCTCTACTTGAGCCGTGAAGCTTTGTATGTTGACCCTCCACAAGCATTGCATCGGCAGGAGTGTCATGCGCTAGGACACCCACACCCATTTTTCAGCGTTTTTTCAAGTTGCCTTGGTTAGTAATTGAGCATTAGTTTCAGGATTATTTGGCAATCCTCCCATTGGGCCTTCTTGATTTTGACTTGTGCTCTCTGACCATCTCTGATGATTGGGTAAGTCTTGGATGTATAAACCTCCAGCTCCTTTGACAAGGCAGTTGAGTTCCAGACTTCAATCTGTTAGTATAATACTGTTCAAGGTTTTGATAGTGGTACAGGTACATAATCTAGGTACATCAATTATTACATTTGTTGGTGTTGGCTGCTGCAGTTGGTACACTGGTATACGGCACGGTATGCCATGATATTTGACACCAGGTACTATTTGGACATTATTTTTGTCAGTTGCACTATGTAAATTGTGAGATGGGTCAGTTGTTGCTGAATTTCCTTCTCTCATTTCATAACAATTTTAGTTGGGGATTGAGGTTACCTTTCTAGTTGTATGCAGGAAGTTACATTTGAACATGTCATGTTGTCTTTTCTTTTTCTGATTTCTGATCTCCCCTTTTTGTGACACAGGTTGGGAAGAAAGCAGCAGTGCTTGGTTTTGTTGGGGCACCGTGGACAATCGCTACATATATTGTGGAAGGGGGTACTACTCGCACATACACAACTATAAAACGCATGTGCCATACTGCACCACATGTCCTGAGGGTTCTCCTTTCTCATCTAACTCAAGCAATATCTGACTATATCATTTTCCAAGTGAAATCAGGAGCTCAGTGCATACAAATTTTTGATTCTTGGGGTGGACAATTGCCACCTCATGTTTGGGAACATTGGTCAAAACCATATATCAAACAGGTAAGGAAGGTCAACAAAATGATTGTTAAGATATGTTTACTGCTGAATTCTTTTTTCATCCAACATTTTTTGTTTACTGAAATTTTTATTTGGATCTGGCACCTCATTGATTTTTCTTCTTTATATGGGAATTTCTTTATTATGAATGATGTAATTGATCTTATTACATTTATGTAAGAAAGCAAGTATGGTTAAATCCCTTGATCGCAAAAAGGACAAATTACCAGTTTTGCCATCTGATAGTACCTTCAATCATACAGATAGTGAGTTCAGTCCGGAAAGAATGCCCTCAGACACCACTTGTGTTGTATATCAATGGTAATGGTGGTCTAATTGAGCGCATGACTGGAACTGGAGTTGATGTGGTTGGGCTTGACTGGACGGTGGATATGGCAGATGGAAGGAGGCGTCTTGGCAATAATGTTAATGTGCAGGGAAATGTTGACCCCGCATATCTTTTCTCCCCTCTTCCTGTTTTGACTGATGAAATCCATAGGTCAGTGGCCTTGGTTTCTAGTTAGTACAATATGTGTTAATTATTTTAATTTATGTATTCCTAGCAGGCTGGCTTTCTTCCCATGCTTTAAATGTTCTAAATAGCATGTACCAGTTAGCTCTTTGCTTTTAGGAAAGGTCATTTATCTTTTTAAATCCGTAAGGAATTTTATGTTACTTCTGTTTGATGCTTGAATGTTCTTGAAGTCAAATCATACATAATTAATGTGGCTTAAATATGCAGATGAACATAAGTAAATCACTTTGTTTCTGCAGATAGAATGGAAACTCCAAATTTGAAGTCAATTTTGACAACAAATGGCCATGGGTCAACTTGTTCTAAATTTTTATGACATTGAAGCTCTTCTGCTCTTATCAGGAATTATTTTGTTTTCCAGAACAGCCTCTACATATTATCCTTATACTATCTATTTTTCTTTGTTTACAATGTGAAAATACCTCTTGTAAATGTTTCATCTGGGAGTTTTCTCTAGCGTACATTAATTAATACATGTTTCTCCAATCAATGTGCTGTTCTTAAATAAACTATTTGAATTTTTGGGGGCTGTCGCTGCTTGTGGTCACCAAAGCCATCTGTTTTAAATGAAGCAGTTCTATGATACTTCAGAAGCAACTCTGTTAACTTCTTAATTTACTTTTTCCTTACTTTATTCTGAATGTTCATTATAGTCTAAATGTTCATTATAGCACTCTTTTTTATTTTATTTATGACCGCAAAAAAAATCAATTTTTTAGTGATTGTCTAACAGCAGCAATCTTGAAAGTGGAAAGTACATGCAGTATCCTTTCACTTGATGAACATCTTGCCTGATGATATAAGCAAGTCAAGAGAAAGATGATCTTTCTATTTCGGCTTATGTCTGTCCATTTCAATTCATTTCATCACCTTGTTATTTCTGTGTAAATTCATTTTCACTACTCCAGAATTCCTACTTGAGACTTTTTTTTACTGATACAAAATAAACAATGCCATCCTGGACAATCATTTGTGCATAGTAGACTTATCATGGTGATAGAGGTGGTGTCTGGATTTTTATCCTGCCTGCACTTCATTATGCCACGGAAGACATGCTATTCTTGATGTCAAGGCTGGTTTAAACTCATTTTGAATGTTCACTTGAAACTTGACATCCAGATGTAGTATATGACCAATTGAAATGTTCATTTACAGGGTTGTGCGGTGTGCTGGCAGACGGGGGCATATACTTAATCTTGGTCATGGCGTTCTCGTCAACACCCCAGAAGAGGCCGTTGCTCACTTCTTTGATGTCGTGAGAGGCTTGAGCTATGACTCTCTTTTTGAAGATGATGTGGCGGTCGACGAATTAGAGCCTTTGACTCGATTGTGAAATTGCGATGATGCTAAATCGGTGAGTCAAATCATTTCAATTGCTTTGTTATGTCACAACTTTGCAATCTGTAGCAAGGCTTGTTAGTGTTGTTGATTCCACATGTATGCCAACTCCCTAGTAGTTTATTCAGTATTCCTTTGCCTGTTACCGCCATGTAGGAGGAGTACACCGTTTTCCTGTCATTGCCTTGTGTTCTTATTAGGAAGGACAATTGGCTTAAATTCTCAAACAATGGTCTTTCTTTAACTCTCTGTCCTTTTTGACTCTGATTCAAATGTTCAATTAGGTGATAAAAGAAGAGTTCATGCGGGAATTTGTGGTCCCGAGGTTGATGTATGATTTCTTTTTAAATTTAGCATTTTGTTTTCTTATTATCATTCGTGTTAATTTTAAAATTAATACTTTTTAAAACATTATCAATATAGATTGTTAAAATCTAGCTTAAATCTTCACCAATATAGCATATAGACTTACATATTTATGCTGGTTTCGCTAAAATAACCTAGATTACTAGATGTGCGTTAAGCTAGCTTAATTCTATACGAATATAGTGTTGATCTAAAACATATGATCTAAATTATACGGATTCATGTCAGCTATACAAAATATATTCCTTAATATTTATGGAACATAGTATTTATTATATTAGTTTTTGAGACTTTAGTTAGTCCTGAGATCAAATCTCGTTTTTGTTATGTTACCAAAAACAAGGATTTTATAGCTCTTCGAGGATGTTAAAGCATGTATTGTCCTCTGACGAGAAGGAAATGCAGAAACTGGACTACCACAAAGCTCATAAGGTTGCAATACTATTGAAGGATCTAATATATGCTTTAACATCCTCCACTTAACACGTGAAGGAAGTGGCAATGATTCCAAAACCAGCTGTGTTCATCATTCTAAAGAAAATACTGTGAACCGCGGGACACAAATGGCCACGACGATGACCCAACGCTACCGTTTGTCAAATTGTCGCTGTGAGTTTTATCTCCTTATCTGTGTGCGTTAATGTGGTCTGCCTATAGGATAAAAAGAAGAGGGAGGAAGGGACCTTCCATCTGCCGTAACAGCGAGATCCCATCCTTCTCTACCCCGTATTGGACACTGACCACAATACACGCAGGGCTCGGCATAACAACAAACACTTGGTGGTCCTCCCCCTGTTCTTGTAGTTTCTTGTGCGTTCTCGGCGCCGCTGCCGGGGCTGGAGGAAGAGGACAAAGTAGAAGGGCGCGTTCACGTGGGCGAACATGGATCGTCTCCTCTTCTCGCTGGGTGCTTCTCATCAACGTCATATATACGGACAACTTGAAACAGGTATACTTCGTGCCTGCTATACTTCGTACTCGCTGTTTATTGGCAGTGTAGGATGAGGTGCAAATTACTCATCGTGCGTGGGCCCCGCTTTTCCTGCTCGGTTCTCCCAATCCCCAACACCCACGTCACCTGCCTCCATGAGCCAGGCATTTAAGAACTCCAGCCTGCCACCTTCCCCGTCTCATCCCGACTCCCGATACGGCAGGCGTACTTTCCGCCGCGGGTGCAAGAAGCACTGCTCCCTGCCTCGCCCTTCGACCGCCCCCGAACGGAACGCCCCGTCGGTCGATCACGCGAATATTGAGATGCTTGTTTCCCTACCTTCGCGTGCCCTGCGAGACATCCTACAATCTCCACGCTGAGCCCCCATTTAATCGATGCAGCTTCGGTTCCATCAATCATAAAGCACGGCGTGGCCATCCTCACCGTTGGATTGCTTATTATCCTATTTTTTCATTTTTCTTGCTGTTCTGATTCGTTTGTCCATAAAAATTCCGCTTTTTATTTTTGAATTATTATTCTTTGGATGTGATATCGAATTTACGGTTAAATAATTTCGGTAGGATTATTTGGATTTTTTTGAAGGAATATGTTCATTATTTTTTGAATATTGGGGAAGAGGATAAATAGAATGAAGGAGCTGGAGGAAGAGAGGCCTACGTCGAAGCCGATGCTGAAGAAGCCACCGGGGTACCTCGACCCCGCGGCGCCGTACCCGGCAGCGCCGAGGCCGCCGCCCAGGCGGCAGCCGCTGCCCCCGGCCTTCCGCCAGCCCGGGAAGCCACTAACCCAGCAGCGCCATCGCCGACCGCGGCGCTCCTGCTGTTGCCGCGTCTGCTGCTGGGCCTCCGCTGTGGCCCTCGTCTTGGGTACCTTACTTGCCGTCGCCATGGGGCTCGCCTACCTCTGGTTCCAGCCGCGGCTCCCCTCCTTCCGCCTCGAGTCCCTCAACGCCACCGCGCTCCGCGTCGTCGCCAGCCCCGACGGGACCTTCCTCGACGCGGCTATCAAGGTCGGGATCCTGGCGACTAACCCCAACGGGAGAATCGTGCTGGAGTACGGCGACGGGGACGCCCGGGTGGTGGTGGCGGACGACGACGGTGACGTGGGGGTGGGGGCGGTGGCGATCACGGGGTTCGAGCAGGGGAGGAGGAACCGGACGGTGGTTCGGTTTGCGGCGGCGGCGAAGGGGGTAGCTGTGGATGAGGTGGCTGGGGCGAGGATCCGAGCCGGGTTCAGGAGTAAGGAGGTGCGTTTCGGAGTGGAGTTGAGGACGAAGGTGGGGCTCCAGGTGGGCGGTAAGAGCACCGGGAAGGTGTTGATCCGGGTGGGGTGCAGCCCGGTGAGTTTAAAGCAGGGGGTGAGCGGTGGGACGCTGCCCAAATGCCTCTTCTACTTGTTTAGTTGGTGAGCTGCCTCTCTTCCCTATTTAGTATTTCTTGTCACTTCTTACCAGTTGACTCTTTTCTAAAATTATGTCTCTTCTTTTAATGATTATTAATTTTTGGAATTCCTTATTTTGTAGTTCTAGGAATGAATTAGTTTTTATTTATTTCAGTATAATTAGTTGGTTTAAACAATGTGAATGATTGACATGTAAAACCTTAGAATGAGTTTGCCATGTCATTTTTAGTCTGTACTTACAAAAAAGGAAAATTTACTTTGTCTTAATGAGATGTGGCGTAGGAACTGGATGAAATGTGATTGAGAAATCAAAATCATCAACGGAACTGAAGTCTCCATGCATGGTTTTATTGCTTTCCTTAACAATGAGGAACTTTTGATTCCCAAAATAGCAAGGAACTTGTAATTACTTTAGGAGACTTGATTGATCCAATAATATGATATAAGAAGAGGTAGAGGAAGACCTAAAAAGACTTTAATAAAAACTATAAATAAAAATTTAAGTACTTTAAACTTAACTAAATAAATGATCTTTTATATATCTCAATGATGACAAAAGATCCATGTAGCTGATCACAAATAGTTGGGACTTACATTTTGTTGTTGTTGTATTGATCCAACAATAATTTCTAGCCAAAATCTATTGCTTGATGTATTATATGAGATTTTAGTAGGATGACTAGATTGGTTTTGTTTGATTGGTTCTGCTTAGGTCTGGTTAACCATTTGCAGGTTGTCACCTCGTTCCAATTACTTGAAGTTGTGTTGATCTGATCTGGATCGGAAACTGATTTGTTTAGTGTCCCTTGGTTTGAGAATGGCCCAAGAGGCTTCTGTTGTGAAATTTATTGATGGTTCATTCTTCTATTGTATTGGTAACACAGTCTTGAAAATTCCTTGGCATGTCCTTACTCTTTACACCATTCTGAATCACGTATGAGGAATTATCAAACATTGGGTGCCTACGATCTCTACTTGAGCCTGACTTGATCATGTTTCAGGGTGGGTAGTGTTTGTTCTGTTAGTGTTCCTCCTCTTCCCTTATCCCTGAGAAGGGTGATACTTGGACTTGATCTGATAGCATAGCTGCTGTATCTCCTCGTTGAATGGTAGATTCAATGTGCAATTTTCTCAAGATATAAGGTCAATTAAGATGGAAGATGTCTTGTAGTAATTGCCACTTCAAAGATTATTTAAACAAGTCCTTTATGGTATCTGGTGTTATGCCATGTGAGATGTTTTTGAAACCCTTTTTCTGCTGATTTTGGATACATATAGGAGATCTTTTTCCGGGTCCATTTTGGAATGTACTAGTCAAGTACACAATGTATTATTATCACATGTTAAAGCTGCAAGTACTGCACTACCTTTTTCATATTGGATTTGCTTCAAGACAAGCTTATTAAGACAACTATAGAAGTGAAATGATTCTATCAACTTTTCCAATCAATTGGATAAATGAAGGTATAGACCAAGATAATGGAATATTTCATCTTTTAGCTTGAATAGATTATATGTTTACAAGCAAAGGGGCCAAAATCTATATTTTGCTTCATCATTAGCAACATTACATTTGAAAGTATATCGCAAGGTCCTGGGCTCGAATCCCACTTTCGTCACTTACCCCTTGTAAAAAAAAAACATTACGTTTGAAAAGTTTATTCCAACAAATAATTGCATTATTTGGTAAATGATTCTTTGTTGGTTAAAGATAGAAATTGTCATCATCTAGCTAGCAGACAGGGTGATGAAGATAAGATTCTTCCTACCGCAAGGAGAGTCCATATGTTGTTCAGCTTTGTATTGGTCATGGAATGCATGCATAAGGATGGTTTTGAAGCCTTAGTTGGTTTAAGTATGCATGTATTGTTGGCATATGTTACTTTCTGAGGCTTCACTTGTTGCAGCCGTGGAACCCATGAACGGACAGACATCGATAGGCCACCTCGAGTTAATCTTAACAAGGGATTCTCGTAATGGTGAATTTTGATTATGTGGTTTGATTAAGATGTTTCACTAGCTTTTTTCAGCTTCTCATTTCTCCCAGTATTTTATACTAATTCTTCAGTTTATATTGTGTATTAGATAACCTATGAATTATATGAAGTTTATGCTTATGTACTTTCAATGGACAATCAACTTACTCTAGGAACACATGACAAGAGCAGAGCATAAAGTTTCATATAGGGAGTCCACATATTAACCTAAGGACAATATTTTTGCCATTAAGCAAACTTCTTAGAGTGACATATATGCACAAGGAAAGAAATAATCTGATTATTATTAAATTAAGATTGCTACAATATACCCATAAAAAATATGTTTATATGCACAAAAGTAGCTTTGAGATTTAATGTGTTGGTACTAGGTGTCGAAAAGAAAATTGACTGGCTGTTCAGATTGAAACAAGTGAAGTAATGATGGATAAAACTTGATCTTTTGGCACTTTGAGCCAGATTTAATTAAACATCTAGAAAGTCAGGTAGAAATCAATGTGATGGCTACATAAGTTTTTCAAAGTTTTCTAACTTCTAAGAGTTTCCTTATCAAGTTATTATGTGTGCCTAATATTTAAGTAGGCAATTTATAGAAGATGTGTGAGGTCATATTATCATCTTCTAAAACTTTAACTAAACGTTTATGATTAGAAATGAATAAACAACCTGTACAAAATGTGTTAAATAATTTGTGCATGATCACTAAATGTAAAATTTCAATTAGACTAAGTGCATTCTTACTGTCTTGCTTAAGAATGACATATTTTTCATATGGAATAGTTATCGATGATAGCATGACATATTTTTCATACAGAACAGTGATTGATGATAGCATATCTTGTTGTGGGTTCCTTTTCCTTTGTTTATCAGTCTAATATTTCTGATCATCTATATCATCTGATGTGTTTCTTGTACATGATCAAAATTGACTCTATGAGCTTACTCTCTACTTTGTGATGTGATTTGTTCTTCTAACAATGTCAGGATTAATTTGCATTGAGAGGGCTTCCTATTTGTATGTCAAAGGAGATGGCATCTGCTGTTGCTGTACGGCAGATCTGTATTTGTTTTCCCATTCTTCGAGTTCAGCTTCAACCTGCCAAATTTACAGCAAGCTCACACTGTATCTTCTTGAAAGGTTTGTATTGACACAAATGATTATCGAATACTAATTTGCAAGAGACACTTGATTTCTTTTGTCTATTGTTTTAATAAAAGTGTTCTAGATAATCAAGTTCTGGCAGTGTTAATAAGCATCATTATGCAAGATTTATGTCCCTTGTATCTCAAAAAATAAATTGTACTTAAGACTTCAAAATTATATGAGAACATGCTGCAAACCACCTCTCATGTTCAATGTTACCATGTTCTCATTTAGTTTTGCTGAAAAATGTGTAAATAGTGAGAAAAAAATATGTGAAGGAAGATGTCTGCTACCTACTGGTGGAATCACAACCGTCGAAGTTCCTGAGAATAAGCAGACATTACAATTTCTGTGAGCTCAAACAAACTCTAGAGATCTTTTTATTAAGCCATTATGTCAGATAATATGAATATGAATCTTAACCGTTTTCATGTTGTTCTTGAAACATTTATTGCATCCATCTATTGCAAGATAAGTTGCATGAATTCTTGGACTATATCTGTTTGTTCTTCTAATATTAGTTTATTGTTTGACAGTATTGTTAGGAAAAAACCTATTAAAGCAGAAAATTCTTTTTCCTCTTTGTGTATCAAAATGGGTTCCTCATCAAAATATCAACTTGATATCCAAATAGAAATATCAACCAGCACAATATAAACAATAGAACAAAAATGAATCAATACAGTGAGATCAAATCTTTTAACGTGGAAAATCGAAAAAAATTATGGGATCGTAGTCCACCTTAAACTTTCACTATCAATAGTAATGATAACAGGTTTACAGTAAATCTTCTCTAAAATAACTAGAGGATCACAATAACATCAATATCATAGATTTTGACTCAAGAACGATGGATCTCCTCAAAAAAGAATTCTAGGTCTCACTTTGGAAAATACCTCAAAGAGAGTAAAATATAGATCAACACAATTAGGATTGTAAAGCTTACTGTAAGGATTCTTCATATAAAATTTGGACTAAGGATTCTTCGTATAAAATTTGGACTAAAACTGATAACTTTGGCCATCGATCGTCAAGCAGAAATCTCAAAAATCTTACTTTCTCTATCTGTTGTTTTCTCTCTCTCTCTATGCCGCGGAACACGTTCACTGTGCACCTTTGGTTGCACCGAATCCTTCCTCTCGTTTTCTGCCCTCAACTATTTTATCTTTTAATTAATAATTTAATTTGGACTGCAAAAGCCCAATTATCCTAGTCATGGGCTGAACCCAACAAAGTATTGCTAACCCAATCTTTATCTTTCATGAACTCTCTATTAGGAAAACTTGAAGACTTCAAATTTGAAACAAAAAAACATGTAGCATTGGCTGCTATTAAAGCTAAAGTTAGCAACAATTTGCAGTTATTATGCATGCAGACATATGATCAGATTGCAGCTATTTGTTGGTCTAAAGAATGGTAGTGGCAGTCTAGGCAAGAGCTTTCATCTTTCATCCGAGTGTGATGGTGAAACCATGAATCACTTGAAAGAGATACTGATAGTGTTACTTGTTCTGCATCTGACACTCGAGATAAACCATCCTGAGTAATAATGTTGATTGAGGTGAGGATAGCAGGGAGGAAATATATTCTATTGTTTAGACTTCGGTGTTGACTTCTTAGACATCAGGATCATTGATTGCAACATCAAATGATGGTGGCTTCATCAGTGATCCATTCAAATAATTAATCTTTTAGATCAGTTGCTCAAATCTAGATCAACAGATTAACCTAGTTTAGTTGTCACTCTGGTTTCCTCCTTGTTGGCAGCTCTGCAATAAATGAAGAAAAATAGGTTTTGCAATCACAGTGGTGCTTTTGCACGTTCATTTATTTGGGTTCAATTATAAGGATTTATTTCTGTCACTCTATCTAGCAAACGATAATTTAAATCTTTATTCGTAGTCAACTCAGATGAAAAAGATTGATGGTTAATTAGGTCATCAGTAGTCAGTGTGAAACCTATATAATCTTATTAGTATAAATATAAATTATGGGTTAATTGTATATATATATATAATCGAGTTGGATCAAAGCTTTGGTTCATCTTAGAATATCTTATGACATAATTAATGCCAATATATTTGTTGAGTTGGAGTCGTCCTGACCACTGTTTAGTATGCCATCCATGTGTTAACATCCCATCACCGGTCACGATATTTATAATAGCTTGCTATTAGCAGTAACGGAACAGTGGCCTCTCTCTCTCTCTCTCTCTCTCTCTCTTAACGTTCTCCTTCTGTAGCTGTTATTACAGAAGAGGTCGATGGTTTAGGCGATGGGCTCCGATTTGGAGTTGTGCCCTGCGCTCCGCCACCACGGCAACCACTTCTTGGCCAAGCTCTTCATCTCCGGTCTTCACCTCGGTGCATCCTTCACCCTCCGCTCTTACTTTAGCGGGTACAACGCTGTCACCAGGATGCTCTCAGTTGCCGTGGAGAGCGGATCATCGACGTCGGTCGACGCTGGAGAAGCGAAGCTTCAGGAAGAAAGGTACGAGGTATAAATATATGGATCCTACTCATCCTATTGTTAAAAATAAATTTATAATACAGAAACATTAATGTCAAGGATTAAAATCTAATATATCTTAGATATGAGAAAAAAGATGCTTATCTTTATTCAATATGCTTATATCGAATCGAAATATCTCCTGTTATTATCATTTTCGACCCATTTTCGATCCCTGTAAGAAGCTAACCCTCTTCGTCTCTCTTACTTCTCGCAAGGCTACCCTTATTGGTGGAGTCGCGTTCGGAAAAATCACAAAAACACAAACCTTTCTTATATAAGGGCGGGTTTATAAAGGCATATTGGATATTTCTTTTTATGAAGATCAATATTTAAGTATTTGATTAGAATCTAATTATTATTTTTAATATATCTCATCAATTAGGTTATAAGCCTAACCATTCTCCCACTTGACTCGTAAATCGAGAGAGATGCAAAATAAAAATTTTAAAATCATAATAATAAAATAAAATTTATTTTAAAATAGTTTTATTTGATTGGATTCTGAATTTTGAAAACAAAATTATATGTGCATAATTTTATAAAATATATTGATATATCCAACAAATATCAAAATACTATATTAAGTCAGACTATCAATCGAGTCATACTGGTTATATGTCATTTGTGTTATAATTCTTTTTATTTACTATAATACTGTCAATTCTTTTCAATACAATCCATAACGATCCTTATAATTTATCTTATTATCATGTACAAGCATAATATGTATATACATAAATAAAAAATAAGATAACAAAAATAATAATTTTAATTATGTAAATAAAAATATTTATCATAATGTTCATTCAAATATCATAGCCATGCTCGTGAACCAAATCATAAGAACACATTTTTTAAATATCTTATATCGTAAGACTTTAAGGAATGGACAAGTAATCAATACATTAGAATTCAAATTTTTAACTGATATTTAGTTGTTTCCAAACTCCTTTTCTAACCACTAAGTATTATGTGTCGATATGCTTAGAACCACTATAATACTTGTTATTATTAGAGAAAAAACTATCACGATATATCATAAAATATCTTCAACTACTTACAATTGAGTCTAACCACTTGATTAGTAATCTTAAAGAATGTTATTAAATAACTTTCTCTATCAATAATATAATAATATATTGCTTTATATTTTTTTATAAATTATACCTCCAACTAATATAATATAAATCATGAAATGAAATTCCTATTATTGAAGTAATTTATAGAATCAATATATGAAAATATTATCATTTTAAGCTGATCTAATCTCTCATGGGCATATAATCATTCATCCTTTATAGATATTTTATTATTTTTTTATAACCTTTCAATATTTTATTCTTAGGTAACTATAATATCTATCTAATATTCTAATTGTAAAATTAATATTTAGTTGATATGAATATATAGTAGAGTTCTAATTGCGCATGCATACAAAATACCCTTCACCTAATTTTTTTTCAAGACATTTTTAGGACATTAGCTTACTCTGAATTTTTCACTTGTAGTCATAGGTGTAGCATTTATTGAGTAAAGTTGCATGTTAAATCTCTCTAAGATTCATTCAATATATATTTTTTGATATAGTTTTATCGATCATTAAGGTGCATTCCTAAATATCCTTATGCTAATAATATAAGTTGTCTCATTTATATTAATCATCAAAAAATTCTTGGTGAGAAAGTTATTAGTTTCGTATAGTAAACCAAGATCACTATCCACATACAAAGTCAAAATAATAAATTTATTCTCATTGACCTTCATATACATACATTGATTAACAACACATTTATTTAATCCAAATGATATAACAAATTGTTTAGAAGCTTGTTAACGTCATAAATTAATTTCTTAAGTCTATAAATCAAATATTTTTTTTTCTTTTCTGTAAGTCCTTCAAATTGTTCTATATATATTTCTCCATATAAATTCATATTCAAAATATTATTTTTACATCTATCTGATATAACCCAATATTATAATAAGCTACTAAGACCATGATAATTCTTAATAAGTCCTTTTTAGAAACTAGAGAAACAATCTTGTTGATGAACCTTATGTCATGGTCGATGAGTCTATACGGCTTGGTTCGATTGGTGATGTCCAAGGTCATCCCAGGAATGAGGTCCTCTCCTGATCGGGTCGAGCTCGGGATCGTTTGAGATGCGCCTCTTCAGCGAGCTCGTTCACCTTTATCGTTGTCAGATCCCTGCACACCAGCCTAGGTTGGGATGGGGAAGGGATTCCCGACTTAGGCTCGTCTGAACATTAAGTCAGTGGAATTCCTTTTTGTTAAAGATCTTGCCCCTTGTCAGATGT